AGAATTGCCAACAATTCAAGTGTGACACTGCTGACTCACTTCTATAAAGTACCACGTCTTTCAAACCTGTGGGGCATCCATAAGCCACAGGCAACAAGCAACCCCCCCCCCCACGCACACATATACACACAAGGAGATACAGGAAAACCTGACCTCTGAGGTTTCATTTGAGTATGAATTCATTTCTTTCAACTACAAAGTGAATACAGTAAAAAAGAAAAAGACAAAAATCTACCAACTAGGCTGCGCCGCCATCCTCTCCATGTAGTCTTTGGCCATGTCTCGGGCTTCAATGTTGTCAGGGTACAGCACACAGAACATGGCCAGGGCACCCAAGTTGTTCCCATAGATTTCATTCCAGCGGGCACTGTAGTCCTTGGGATCCCAGGGAGGGAGGTACTCCAAGGGGCTGGACAGCATAGTGTGCACGGCTTCTGTGAGCCGGGCTGCGATGTGCTCATGTGAGCTCACAGCCTGGAGCTGCAGCTCTGCCACCTCGGACCTGGAGAAGTACAGCATGGGGTGACTGTCGTAGTTGGCGTTGGTGAAGGGAATCATGACTTCTGGGTTCTCATCTGTGGTAGAGGCTGACCCCAGGCAAAGCAGACATATGAAAAACACACTGGGAGCTCCCCGTGTGTGAGTCCTCATTGTGGCATCAGATCTCCAAATCTCCAAGGCAGCCAAACCATCTTTGAAAGATCCTATAGGAAATAAAAAAAGAAAAAAAATTCCAAGATCGCACATCAGCCTAGGGAACATGGTTCAGGCATAAATCTATGCGAGATAAGAGTTCTTATTAGGAAAACATCTAAATCTTGAAAAATAAGGTTTATGAATTTTGACTTTTTTAAATACAAAAAAGATTTTTGTTAGGAAGAAAATTCCTGAGACCTAGTACGATTTAATTTTATAGAATGAACCATGCTTTATCAGAATTGTATTCATATGGAAAAGACAACTTTGGACTTAAGAAAATGGTATTTATTCAAGTAAGGAAGAACCACAATTACCAAAAACTGGTGGTGACATATTGTCTGAGAATCCAAGTGGGCATTACAGCATAAAATAAAAAATTCTGCATTTATTAACATCGTCTCCTTTGTTCTAACTTCTCCCCTCTTCCTAACGTTTTATATTCTGAACCAAGGATTAGGATGAATACATCTATGAGAACGTAGGCAGACACAATATTATGTATAAGACTAAACATTCTTTGTGTGAACTGGAGGTAGAGACGGAGTAGATAAAGACAGAATAAACATCTGCCAAGCCCATGAATTCAGGCAGCAAGCCCAAGTGAAGACTAGACTGTTAGAACTAGAAACTGACATTCAGGATTAAAAAGGTGAAATCACATATGTGCAGTCTTCTTTTATAATTTGAAACTACTGTCTACTTTTCATTTTGCATATGGAATTTTGGTAGTCTTTCAGTAGGGCAGAAATTTAAACCAAGTCACATGTTTTCTTAACTGCCTGACTTACCTTTTTCAGTTAGGGGCAGATTTGTGCACTGGTTAAAAGAACATCTTTTAAATGTATGAACAAAAAAAAAGAGAGAGAGAAAGAAAGAAAGAAGAAGAAGAAAAAAAAAGAAACCTCAGCTTCATCTATGTCCCACATCTGGGATAAAGCAGGCATAAAATTCCCCAGAGGAAAGTCAGGGAATTCTTAAAATTCTTAAGAGGGGAAAGGTTATAGAAAGCAGACCAGAAAAATATAGTTTTGTGTAAATAATGAACAGTGGTTTTCAATTATTAAAGGGAAAAGCCGATGGTGAAAAAATCAGCCTCCCAAGCTGAATACAAACTGTTTTTCCAAGGAAAATCTGCCTCATCACATTCAGAAGAGAAAAACTAAGATCTGAACACACACAGAAGGTCAAGCCACATTCCTGCTCTCAAAGGCAATATGGCAGCCCTGGGGTGCTGCCTTATTCTGCTCATCTGTAAATTTTCCGATGTGTTTTATTTAGACGATAATTACACACACACACACGCACACACGCACACACACACACACACACACACAATGCAGTGGTTTTGTGAAGCACACTTCTGATTGAGAAGCAGAACTTCTGATGAATAAAAAAATTGCACAGCCATGCTAAATCAAGCTAATGAAATAGAAATAATGCTTAGACACCGCTAGTATTATGTCTAACACCCCAAAGCTTCAAGGCAGCTTCGAGATCCTCCAAGGTCACAGAATCAGCCAAAAGCAACAGTCTTCTGAGGTTAAGCCTGAGGAGGGGTGTGATCTCTGGCAACACAGAAAGTGGCTGTCTCGAATTACATTCAATTCCTCTAGGGAATTATTTCTTGCTACTTTCAGAAAACAATACTGCTAACACTTCAAAAAAAAGCCTGAACACTTACATTAAATCCCCAATGAATGCTGTCATCAACACAATTAAGTAATTTCAGAGTTAGGCAGCTGGGGAGCAGATAATTTGGAAGACTCAGTTTTCTTTAATTAGCTCCCACATGTATGCCACTTAAATTCTCTCAACTGTCTTTTGTTTGTTTGTTTTAATTGGTGGGTACTTGAAGTACCAGAGAATAGGTAAAATGATACGCAGAGACCAGAAGTTTTTCCATCTCAGACTCTACAAACATTCTGCAGTGTTCTGACACTGCAGAGGCTGGGCTGTTTCTGTTTCTCCTTCCAGCGCATACCTCCTTCCTACCCAGCCATGGAGTCACTGAGTCAGTGAGGGCTGCTCCAGTCCTTACACTGTGGGGTCCACAAGCAAAACCTGAGAAATTGTGCCCTTCTAGGCCAGCCACTTCTGCCTTCTTCTGGTAGACTTCCAGTTACAAGGGCATGGGTGAATACATTTAAACAAGAAGAGCTGACCCTGAGGCACAAAACCTCACAGAGATGTGGCTTTGGAAGTGACACTATCTATATTACAACTATTTCTTTTGTTTTAAATCTTTTATTTATTTATTCATTTATTTATTTGGTACAGGTTCTCACTATTCATCTCAGACTCATAGTGATCCTACTGTGTCTGCCACCCCAGCACTAGGATTACAGGTAGGAGCACAGTGTCCTCAGAGTTCTGAGGCTGGCACAGCATGCAATACGGGGACCCATCTCAGGTCCTTACACTTTTCAGGAGGCACTTAAACCCCTGAGCTCTCCCCACACCACATTACAACTATTTCTGATGACTCCCTGCTTATTGCTCCAAATTCATTTGGGAGGGTCACCACAGGAGTTGAGCTACTGCACATTTAAAACATTAGTAGCTGTGGGGGGAAAAATCATGTTACGACAATGCACAACCCTGTGTGAAACTGCAGAACACTCATCCATGGAGGTTACCTAACAAGACAGGACCCAGCAATCGCAGGGTTTCTACCTGTGTGCTCCTTGGCTTCTATCCTACCCTATGTCCTCAATATTCCATCAGCCACCAAGGATCTTCAGGCTATGAAGATCCTTGGTTGATCTCTGTGAGGAGTAGTTTCTCTTGGGTCTGCCACACATCATATCACAGTGGACAAAACTTTTCCCATACTACACCTCCCAGAAGGAGGAGCCACAGCTTCCCTGTGCATTACAAAGCACAGCTCTAAACCTGACAGACAAAAGGCAGCTCACAGCGCAGAGGGGTCCATTCCTCCTTTCAACCCCAGAAGCCTCACCACTATGGAAATCAGTATGCAAGTTCCTCAAAAAACTAAACAGAAATTCCATTTGATGTAGCTATGCCCTTTCAGGATATCTTCCCCCAAAATTTAAAGATATCATACCACAATAAATTTGCATACCCATGTTTATAGCAGTGCCCTTCATAACAGCGAAATCTTGGAAGCAGACTGTATATTCATCAAGAGGAATGGATAAAAAAAATTGTGGTATTTATGCGCAATAAGAGTAACATTTTGGGGCCAGGGAGATGGCTCAGTGGAATAAGCGCTTCCCTGGCAAGCGCAGGGGCCTGAATTCCATCCCCGGTTCCATAAAAAAAAAAAAAAAAAGAGAGAGAGTAACATTTTACAATGAAGAAGGATAAATTTAAGTCACTTGTAGGAAAATGGATATACCTTGAAACCATAATGTTAAGTGAAGTAAATATGACACAAAAACTTAACTATCCCACAGTTTCTCTTATATGAGAAACTCAGTATATAAATAAAGTGCAAACACAGACAATAGGAAAAAAGTAGAGAAAAGAAGTTACAATGATCCAGCATGGACAAGTATACCTTGATTTAATATAATAGTCTTAGTGTGTTATATGTTTTTGGCCTGTTAGTCTGGCTGTTAGCCTTGAGTGTGGTGCCTGAGTGAACAGTTTACCAATTCCTCACAATAAGTATATTACAAACATATATATATATAGTGGCTCAGAGGCTGGCTCACAACTAAATCTAGGGTTTAGCAGCTGGTGGAGTAGGTCTCATCATGAAAATGAACAAGGAGACATTCTGTTTCCCTTCTTTAAAGCCCAGGCAAGTTTAAAAATTTCCAGAAAAGAATTTCTGCCAAGAAATTAATAAGCAAAAATATGAAGCCTAGAAATAAGTAGCCTAAATGCTACTCAACAGCTTTGTTGTTGTTGAAGAAAGAAAGAAAGAAAGAAAGAAAGAAAGAAAGAAAGAAAGAAAGAAAGAAAGAAAGAAAGAAAGAGTTTAAACTTAGGTCTAACAAAAACTTGTTCTAATGACCTACAGGAACACCAGTTCCCACCCATCCTTATATATCTTTCTAGAAAATCCTATCTACAACACCTATTTCCAAATCCTGTGGAATGGCCATTTGACAATCAACCTTACACACTCTGCCATGCTCTTTGTAAGGCACTACAACTGAAGGAAACCAGTATGTCTTAAGATAATTTTAAGGGGACTATAAACAGATAGCTTTTATGCTAATTTTATATATTGACTGCAATGGACATTAGGAAAATCTGTAACTATCATATCAAATCTTAGCAGACAACATATTATGAAGTTCTTGTTTAAAGTACATTCAAGTTTAAACATACAGAACTTGAGCATGGCAAAAAGCCTTGAGTGTGGTGCCTGAGTGAACAGTTTAAGAAATGCTGAAAATGCTTAAACAATGGTCTTAAAGGCTAACAGGTTTACCGGAAAGTCAAACCCTGATCCTTCCACTTCACCTGTCACAAAATAAACATACATTCTCCTTCCCTGTTCATTTCTCTTTCCTACACAGGGCACCTTGGGGAAACAAATCTGAACTGTGAGGTGAGTACGGATGATCTTGAATAGTGACTCTGCTACCTCATTGTTTCAGAAATAGCAGAGCATGGCTTTTCAATTCAGCAACACCACTAGCTGACCAAGTACTGATCTGTTCAGATACAGTACACCCACAATACATGTCTCAAGATGCTTCTGAATGATGCTGGTAAGCCTCATTCCCCCTGAAATTCTTCTTCCTCTTCTAATCCGGTACAGCTAACTTTCATAAACCAGTTGCCCTACCCATTCTTTTGTCTTACTCTACACAATTCAGATAGTAAAATATTTCTAAGTTTTCACTCATTCAAAGGATTTGGTGCAGTCACTGGCTACTACAATTCAGATACCAACTGTATTGTCTCTCTGTCTGAGTGCCCTACATATGTCTCTAGAAGTTCAAGTATGGCATTATACCTAGACTACATCAGATGAGTTATAAATACTTTAAGTGTATCTGTACAATGCTACAATAAGGC